AGGTGCCTTGACATTGAGAAACACCCTGTCTTCTAGGCATGGAATGAACAAGTTGTATAGAGCAGTACATTAAGTTCATGATACCATCACTGACATGCAGCTCTCCAATGCCATCAGCACTCATGCAGCCCCACATTATGACACCACCACCACCACCATGTTTCACTGTAGTCACTGTAAGATGGTTGCACTTCCATCTTACTCAAAATTTTGGATCACTTTTGCTGCAGTATTTTGACTGATGTGTAAAGTTTTGCTGGTCTTCTTGTAGCCCTCACCTTTTGTGTGTAAAGAAATTATTTCCTTTCTCAGAGTTAGTGACATTTCTCTTCCATGTGGAGCCATTGCTGACAGCATGAAATGGGAAGGGCTTTTCTTTGTTAAGTAATGCCCTTTTATTGTCACCTGTCTGCTGGACACCTCTTAAATGAACCATTAGACTCACCTGTGGTTGATTGCCTGTTAAATTGAATTTTGTAGTCTTAAGTGTGGCTTTTCTCCTAAGATTATAATTGGGATGTACTCATTTTTGCTACATGGGCTTGAGTAGATTTGTTAGTAAAATCACATTTTTATGTTTTCAAATGAGCAAATATTGTTTGCAATCAATGGCCCATATTTGTGGGAGTATGTTGTAGTATGGTATCTCATTAAAAAATGTTGATTCTGAAAGGAAACTAAAGGTTTTCTGACAAATGTAGTGGGGTGTACTAGTTTCTGCTGAGCACTGTGTATATATATATATATATATATATATACTCACACATAAAATGTAACAAAGAATATCCTCACTTTTTTATTTATGGGATGTCTGATATCCTTTAAATTCAGCCGTGCGTGTCTGACCCTTGGAGTGGGGTGAGGGGTGTTACTCAGCAGTTTTACCTTCGTCTCCAGAGCGCTGCTGTCTCATTTTTTCCTGTTATCTCACACTTTGCAATTTCCTTTCTCCTCCACCTCCTTTCTCCTCCTCCTCCCTGGCTCTGAGCAGAAGTTCACTAAGGAGGCTCCGAAGGAGGATCTGGACGTTCTGATTCAGCCTCTGCTGGAGCACTGCAGCTCAGAGAAGATGAACACGTGGCTCGGTATCTGTCCTCTCCGCTTCGCACTGTCTCACTTTCCTCTGCTCTCATTTTCTGTATCTGTGTGGACAAGTGGAAACACACACACACACACACACACACACACACTCATGCACGCACACACACACGTCACAGCCGTTCACTCTGAATTAAACAGGCCTCATATCACAGCCTCCCCTTGCCTCCCTAAACCCTCATCGCCTCCTTACGTTTGATTTCTCCTCTTCGTCGACCCACACAGTCCCTCTCTGCTGCCTTTCAGCTCTTATGAAAATATAATAGTTCTGAAATTCAAACAATGTGGGTCACAAACTGGGCCAATGCCCCGAAGTGTTTCGCCTCTGAAGAAGAAAAGATGGAGCTTTAATTTCAGGCAGTATAAAGAAATAATGGACAGTGTGAGGAAGGGTTGAGCTTAAGTCTGTCACTTTCCGTCTTCTCTTCGCCTGGCGCCGACTGCATTTCAACCATTTCCTCTTTATCCTACCCAACTCCCTCTGAAGTCCTCTTCTCTTCCAAAAGTCTCCAAGTTAGTCTTTTCTACATGACGTTAAAACCCAAATCAGTCCATCTTTAACGTAGTGGAGATGGAGACATGCTAACTGCTCATTAGCCTGAACCATGCTAGAAGTTTGACTTGAGATAATTCTCATTTAGCCAGAAAAGGTAGTTGTTTTTTTAGTTTGCTGTGGGGATGCAAAACATTTTAGTTTGTTAGCATGCTAACATTGGCTCACTTACTGTAAAGTTTAGCTAATAGGCAGCGATGCTAACGTTACCAGGATTTTACCTGATTCCTGCTGCAGGGTGAATCATGAATTCAAAGATTTTTTTTAAAGATAATGAAAAAAATTTTGGGGAGCTTTTTAAACATGTGATATTGTTATTTCCTCGTTAAAAAACGGGTTTGGCTGCATTCATGCATTTTCCTGTTTCAGATGCAAATTTTGAGCTTCACATTGAAAATCCTGTGAAGCGTCAATGGAAATGAATTCAATTCAATTCAATTCAAAGATACTTTATTAAACCCAGAGGGAAATTAGAGCTTCAGTACACACAATTCTGAGTTCAGACATACATACATAGACACATGACAAGAATTGGTGACAGTGGTCATTCGCAAAGCGAGTTGTGCCACCTTAATAGAGATCAGAGGGTTTATATGAGGATTGGTTCAGGTGGAGAAAAAAAAGGCACTTCAGAGTTACCCTCCACAGGGAGGGCAGCTTTGCTATGCAAAGAACACCTCAGACAGAAATGCAACAGACTTCAGACATTACACAACATAAGTGTCCACTAGGTGGGGTGGTAGGGTTTGGGACTCTCCATACGTCAGTGAATGCAGCCACGATAAGAAGCTGGGTTGGGTTGAGTTTAGAGGTCACAGTGACTCCTGGAATGATTCAGCAGCCTTCACAGCTCGCAGTCTCGCCCAGGCTGGGATAGGGAGACAGAGTTGCCATGGCAACGGCAGCATTCCACTTTTCTTCGGGGGGGGGGGGGGGGGGGGTATGTCACCTGGGAGCCCCTTCTCCAGTTCTCATTGTTGAAAAAATTTTGTCAATCGCATTGAGAGACCAACTGACCAGGTACATTTTAGTAATTTCAGTTTCCAGTTTTCCAGAAAAAATGCAGAAGCGCCGTACACCCAGAAGTAGACAAAGAGCCTTGGGATAAGATAGGGAGGAGAGGAGGAAAAAAGTGTCTGTACTCTCCAAGAGCAGGAAGAAGAAAGAAATTGTGTCAGAAAGCCCTGCGCTTCTTCTGGAAGCTAGTCTCTGATCTGAAACCTGCCTCCCCTGGCCAGTACAGGATATGTATCTTAGGCAACTATAGTTACAGACTTGGTAGTCCAGTTGTTAGAGTACCAGACTTAGCACTTAAACCACTGGACTACCAAGGCCAATGCAGCAGCAGGCTGGCCTAAGACGCTATTGTAGGTTTGTTTTGTCAAAATGGGCATTGGCAGAGCTTCACTGAAATAAACCGTTTCATTTCTGGTTATGGAAAAACTCGTAATTAGGATAAATTACATCTCAATAGTGCCACTGGTAATATTTGATCAAATACTGTGCCTACCTTTGCTCTCAAAAGTTTAAAATGGCATGATCTGGACCTTTAACTATGAAGCAAAACAAAACCTCGTTCAGCATTTTTATAGCTACATGATCCTCTCTAATTCTTCATATGAAAATTAAGAATGAAATGTTTGTTATGCCCTTAAATCCTCACAAATTATACGATGTCTCAATTTAAGTGGATAACATGGCACTAAAGTTTCCCTCTTTCTTATGGAAGCCACTTTCCTTCACACGTTTGCCCTTCAGAATAAAATGTGCTGTGTTAGGTGTTTGGAGCCCCGACACCCGAGGTCACCTCATGAACATCTCAGAATTGGAGGACAAGAGAAAAAAGTTCCTGTCACAGTAACACAGATTTTTAATGATTTTAATTTTGAGAGCATCCAACTTATTTCCATACAGACCTGTGCTTCACCGGGACATTTAACAAAACTAACAAAAGGGACAAAGTGTGATTCTTTTGTCTTATTGTCCTTCCCAGAAACATACTGAACTCCCTGTTTGTGTCCTGTTTTCTCCTTCCGTAGGGGTGGTTTATGGCTACAAAGGTCTGCTGCTGCTACTGGGCATTTTTCTGGCTTATGAGACCAAGTCCGTTTCCACCGAGAAGATCAATGACCATCGAGCTGTGGGGATGGCCATTTACAATGTGGCAGTGAGTCCAAACTCCATCACACCTAAAACTCCTGCGGGCTGCAGCACGCCGCCTCACAATAAAGCAGCAATAAGTGTATTTTTATTGCTCCATAGAACAAAATGGCTGTAGTATATCTGTTTGGAGGGTAGGGGCAGGGGAGCCGTCAATGCCAGGGTGTTTGTGATTACTATCCGAGGACCGATTCTGGGGGAGAACATTTAACTTGGCCAGTTGCAGAAACTCTAAAGGTTTTATTATCAAGAGGGAGAGTTATAGTTGAAGCTCTCTGGGTTCTGCTGCAGTGCTTTAGTGTTATTTGTGCAGATGATTGCCTCCACTAAAACATTGAGACACTGATGCTGCTTTAATGACTTTTGCAGTAAAATGAGATGCAGAAACTTGTTCAGATTTAAAATACAATATGTGCTTTCTTCAACTAGAACCAGTCTGCCCATGCAGTCCATGCATACAGTCTCTATAAACCCTGGAGATGGTTGTGGGTTCAAATCCCAGTGGGTCAGACAAGATCATCTGTTCTTTCTGATGCTTAGATTGGACTTCATCAGGGGTCTGCAACTTGCGGCTATGGAGCCATAAGGGGGTCTTTAGACCATCTACAATGGCTCAACAAACTAACTCGTGTTTTTAAATTCAACAAAATTTCAGGCTTAGCAGCAGCTGAATTAATTAGAATTTTTACCATACCATACCACTTTATTTGTCATGCGCATTTCAATACAACATGAAAGCCGACTAAAGCTCCTTACAGGAAGATGTACTAAAATAGACATCATATCATAAACACAGCTAAGAATAAAACAAGTAAAACCGCCAAAATGGCTATTCTAAAAAATGAATAAAACCTAAAAATGAATAAAAAAATAAAATTTAACAAGAAACAAGTCATGATGTAAAATCCAGATCATGAAAGTGTGTTTTTTGTTGTGTGTACAAAAGCACGTTGAGAGTGTGCAAAGCGACATGTGGTCAGCTGACCTCCGTGAGTGCATTGGTATGTACAGCTGTAACAAGTCATTCAGGTATGTTAGTGTCATGCCGTTTAGTGCTTTAAAAACAAAAGGCAGGATCTTAAACCGAACCCTAAACAGGACAGGGAACCAGTGCAGATGTGTTAGAATTGGTGTCACATGACTCCACCGGTTTGTGTTGGTCAAAATCCTCGTTTCTGCATTTTGGATCAACTGCAGTTTATTTAAGGCTGAGGGAGGCACACTGACAAGTAGGGAGTTAGCGTAGTCTAACCGGAATGTGATGAAGGCATGAATCACAGACTCCAAATGCTGTCGTTTCAATACTGATTTCAAACGCGTTAGATGTCGCAGACTGGTGACTCATTTCATCTCATAGATGAAATTTCCATATGATCTTTGCAGAAGTTTGATGTTATTCTTCTGTTTTTCTTAATGGTCCTTGTGCAAAGCCCTTGGGTTGATGCATAATGGAGTTGCGTGTCTCTGTACCGACGCGGACAGGGAAGTGTAACTCTGGCTTTAGCTGAGCCAGTGGTAGATGTGCTGGGGCTACGATGGAGCGGGGCTTCTGCGGCATGCAGAGGCAAACCTTTTTCTACTTCTACGATTGGTCTAAACTTCTAGGCTCTTCTGTAGATATTCATCAAAAATTATATATAGTCTGTTTTCAAAAGTTTCTTTAACAGCTGCAGCTCTAAACAAGATTTACGAGGTGGGCTGAGGGTTGCAGACCACTGATCTAGATGAATAAATGCTACCATCCGATTGGCTGATTAGATGTCTGGGTTAACAGGGGACTTTCTGTGAGATGGTTAACCCTACGGCTGCTAAACCCAGGTGAAACATCTCAGGTGGAGGCTCCTAACACTTCAAAAGGAACCATTATGTCCTCCACGCCCACTCTAGTCCTGCCCCCGCTGGCACATCTGGGAAACAAGTGGCTTCTGTTGCTAAGGAGCCGCTTTTCTTCTCTGACTGATGCCGATAATTTCAGGTGTTTCCATTTGCTGGCTTGTTGTTAATAAATGAGAGTCTGATGCAGAAATAAAACAAATCGATGGTCGTTATCTTCCAGAGCGTCATGTGTTTCATCACTGTTGCGGGAGAGAGTCACGTTATCATCCACACGTTTCAGTTTTATGACGATGCTCATGACGTCTGGGGTGGGTGGGGGGTGATTGTCAGGAAGCTGCTGCCACATAATTCATGACTTTTTAATGCTGTTTTCTCCGGAAGGATACACAGATGCCTGATGCTGTCTTGGATGTGATTTTCTCACCCTCTCCCTTTGTTGTGTTTCTTTGTGCTCCTGCAGGTGTTGTGCCTGATCACGGCTCCGGTGACTATGATCCTGTCTTCACAGCAGGACGCCTCCTTTGCCTTCGCCTCCCTAGCGATCGTCTTCTCTGCATACATCACTCTCGTGGTGCTTTTTGTACCCAAGGTGCTCTGCCTTCTGACTGATACCCTGAAAATTTGCAGCTCATTCTATCGCTCTGAGTTCAGAGAAGAGAAAAGGTTGAAAATGTCTAAAGAAATTCAGCCGGTGCACGTAGATAAACCAAACTCTGCAGGTTCAGGAAGTACTTGCTTGTTAGTAATAATCTGTTACAACTCCAGATGAAGCCTCCAGATCTGCAGCTGCTGAACAAACCTTAGAAAACATCTCTGGGAGCAACACAAAGTGAGAAATTTCACGCGTCTAGATAAACAGAAGTGGAGATGAGTGCTGCACATTCTGCAAGCAGGAGTTCAAACTTAAAATCACAGCAGCGTTGTCTCAGTTTGATTATCAGGCTATTTCTGGGGGTGTTGTGCAGAAACGACGCCGCAGCACCAAAGATGTCTCCACAATGAGTGTAAAAAAAAAAAAAAAAGATCTGACTTTAAAGTCTCTTCAGCGACAGGAATATTTTTAGGCCCACAGGGAAACGCGGATGATTTTGCTCCAAAGGGTTGCAGATATTAAAAAAATCTCTGATTATGTGTTGATGCATTATTCATGCAGCTCAGCACAGATTTGGATTGTTTATTGACTTCCTGTTCCTGTGGCGGTGCAGATGCGGCGCCTCATCACCCGCGGCGAGTGGCAGTCGGAGCAGCAGGACACGTTGAAGACAGGATCATCCACCAACAATAACGACGAGGAGAAGTCCAGGCAGCTGGAAAGGGAGAACAGGGAGCTTCAGAAGATCATCCAGGAGGTGAAACAGCAACAACAAACATCATGTTGCCCCGGAAAGGCCTTTAGGGGTTTAATTATTATTATTGTATGCCTTTGACTTTTAAAAAGTCAGAAAAAGTTTAAATTCTGACTCCGATACCTGATTGGACCCATTCCCAGAATCCAACATGGCTGTTCATGAAAAGACAGGATAGCTGCAAAACCAGAAATGCATTTGTTAAATTTCTATCTCCGTAATCTGGTTACCTCTGTTAGCGAACATGTGACTTTGGCATTAAAATCAAGCCCCCATAATTCGGGTCTGAAATTGAAGCCAACACGGAAGTGAAAAAAAAATTGTAGTTCCACCCTCATCCGCTGGGGGCTGGTGTCAGAAGCGAGCAAATCCTCATTGACTCCCATGTTAAAAATACCAATTTCACAGCAGAAATAAACGTGTTAAAAAAGAACTACAGCATGGAATTAGAGATACGACACAGCAAGAACACACCTAAGATGGAACATGTTTACAGCCTGGTTCCAAAACATGTTTTAAGTTTAATAGATCTAGTTTACACTCATGACAACTCTGAGGGGGGTGAATTTTTTTGTCAGCCTTCTAAGTGTATTAAATGCCTAAAATTCTGAATAATTAATGAGCATCAGACCCATGTGACCACAGAGCTAGCTCTGGGCAAGGCCTCAGCCTGAACCTCGGCCTCGCCTTAAAACTCTTCCGCGATTTTCCGTCTCTCACCTTGGACAATTAGTTGTGCCGTTTGTGCATTCTTTTTTGGATATTATTTGTGCAATTGTTGGACAAAATGACTTGCTGTGGTATTAATTGCACTAATAGAGCGTCCAAGGAGTCTCCACTTCATTTTTTTCAGTAAGTAAAATTATATTTATGTATTTTATGTCACTGCCAAGCTGAGCTTAGATTTTAACATGTACTGTTTAACCATGAAATTTAAATGTAATAGGGTAAAACCCAGTGCATTTAACATAACGCTGATCCGACATCATGAGTAGTGCACAGGTGTACCTTATACTGCCCACAATAAAAGGCCACCCTGGAATGTAAAGTTTTGTCTCGCAGCAAAATGCCACAGATGCCACAAGCATTGAGGGAGCGTGAAATTGGCATGCTGACAGCAGGAATGTCAACCAGATCTGTTGCTTGTGCATTGAATGTTCATTTCTCCACCATAAGCCGTCTCCAAAGGCGTTTCAGAGAATATGGCAGTACATCCAAACGGCCTCACAACCGCAGACGACGTGTGACCACACCTGCCCAGGACCTCCACATCCAGCAGGTTCACCTCCAAGATCGTCTTAGACCAGCCACTCAGCTGCTGAAACAATTGGTGTGCATAACCAAACAATTTCTAAACAAACGGTCAGAAACCGTCTCAGGGAAGCTCAACTGCATGCTCGTTGTCCTCATCGGGGTCTTGACCTGACTCCAGCTCGTCGCCGTAACAGACTTGAGTGGGCAAATGCTCACATTTGATGGCATCTGGCACGTTGGAGAGGTGTTATCTTCATGGATGAATCTCGGTTTACATCGTTCAGGGCAGATGGCAGACAGCGTGTGTGGCGTCGTGTGGGTGAGCGCTTTGCTGATGTCAATGTTGTGGATCGAGTGGCCCATGGTGGAGGTGGGGTTATGGTATGGGCAAGCATCTGTTATGGACGAAGAACACAGGTGCATTTTATTGATGGCATTTTGAATGTACAGAGATACCGTGATGAGATCCTGAGGCCCATTGTTGTGCCGTACATCCATGAAACCTGGCTTTGACGCCTCAGTTCTTTCCAATTATCGCCCTATTTCCAAGCTTCCATTTCTGGCAAAAATTCTGGAGAAGGTGGTCTATGATCAGCTATCGACTCATCTAGCCAATCATAACATAATGGATATCTTTCAGTCGGGTTTTCGACCCCTGCACAGCACTGAGTCCACTCTCCTCTGTGTTTTTAATGACATTTTTATGGCTACTGATTCTGGCGCCTATGCTGTGTTATTACTTCTCGATCTGTCCACCGCCTTTGACACTGTCGACCACCACATCCTTTTATTACGTTTAGAGGAGGTTGCTGCAATACGTGGTCCAGCCCTAACTTGGTTTAGGTCCTATTTGTCTAACAGGTCCCAACGGGTGGTGCTAAACAACATCTCATCTCGCTCTGCTCCTCTCTCGTGTGGGGTCCCACAGGGGTCTATTCTGGGCCCTTTGTTGTTTTGCCTTTACCTCCTTCCACTCAGCTTAATCCTAAAAAAACACTCTGTTCAATATCATTTATATGCGGATGACTGCCAGATTTACATGTCGGTGAAACCCCAGCAATCAATCCAGCCTCTTCTAGACTGCCTACGAGACATGAAATGGGAACGACAGCGTGTACCAGTTCCCACTAATATCCAACAACTTCGAACAGACATCGAATAGGAGTGGACCAACATTCCACAGGCCACAATTGACAATCTGATAAATTCTATGCAAAGAAGATGTGTTGCACTGCATGAGGCAAATGGTGGTCACACCAGATACTGACCGGTTCTGAGTCCCCAGACCCCCAATAAAGCAAAAAACTGCACATTCCAGGGTGGCCTTTTATTGTGGGCAGTATAAGGTACACCTTTGCATTACTCATGATGTCAGATCAGCATATTGATGTGGCACACCTGTGAGGTGGGATGGATTATCTCAGCAAAGCACAGGTGCTCACTATAACACATTTAGACTGATTCGTGAACAGTTTTTGAGAGAAATGGTAATATTGTGTACCTGGAATGAATTTTAGATCTTTAAGTCCATCTCATGAAAAATCGGAGCAGAAACAAAGGTGTTGCGTTTATATTTTTGTTGAGTGTATAACATGTTGGTGGAGCTGGATTCCGACTATCGGTATGGTCCCCTCCCAGCAGCTCTGTGCATCTCTGATCGCAGCAATGCCTGTCTGCTGCATAGCTGCCGGCTTGTGGAGCTCTTGGGAGACCTCTGTGTTCCACCCGGTTTTACCTAACGGTCAGCCCAGCGTATCTGTGACTCAGAAGCTCTGGTGTTGTGCACAGTTAACTACGGTTGTAGCGAGGTAGCTCTGTTAGCTTACCTCCCACCTCCGCGTTAGCTTTGGGATAGCTTGTAGCTTCACCGCTAGTTCGATGGGTATCGTCATTTGATCCCAGCCTTACAGCCCCACCCTCAGCTCCACCTCTCTTCCCTTTTTTGGAATTGTGTGGGCTTGACAGAACCTGTGACACGGTCAAAATGGTGGTGGTGGCCACCTTCCATTTTGGCTTAAAAACGTATTTTTGGAGCCTATGGAAACAATTTGTCCCATATATATGTCGATGATTAAAATACACTGAAACCTGTAATTAGCTTTTGTTGCTAATGGTTGATCAGCTGATCTAATTTCAGTGTTTTTCATGCAGGCTGAATATGAAAATAGCCTCCTACACCAATCTCCTGCATTAGCTTCTGATTGAAAATAGATGGTGAAACTCTAGGATTTGAAATCCTGATAGATCTACATCACACTGTCACCTAATATTCATGGTCTCACCCATCTTGACTCGTGACGGGGAAGACTGTTATTGGTTTAGCATCCAGGAAACAGCAGAGAACATCTTAACTAGTGGAAGCTAACTGTTAGCATTAGCAACTCCACCACACAGCAGAACTCTTCCAGGCTTGTGTTCTTTTTGGAGATAAAACATCAACGTTGCAGAGCAAACTGAGTCGGTGGGAGAGTTGCGTTGCTGTTATCCAATCAGGGGCGAGATATCCAAATATCAGAAAGTAAGACTCCAAATCCTGTCGTCTGAAGCCACATTCTCCTCCAGCGGAATTCTCCATATTCAAACAGGCGCCCAAGAGTTTTTCCCCCAGAGAATGACTTTCAAGGCATTCTTTTTTACTAGAGACCACAGCAAATGTATTAAAATATGAGTGAAGTTGACCTGTAAATTCATTGATGGTAGAATGGAGTAGAGCTAGTTTGTCCTGGTGAAGAAGAGCCAAGTTGAAACACAAAGTTCTGGATTTACTGATCCATCTATGAGTTCTTGGTCAGGACTGGAAAAGCCAGATCCTGGATTCAATCTTCCTTCGTAGGGTAGCCAGGCTAAAGATCAGGTGAGGAGCTCAGAGTAGAGCTAATGCTCCTCTTCATCAAAAGGAGGTTCCTATCAGGATCCTCACAGGAACCTCTCTGGAGGTTTTCCAGGCATAGAGAAGCCGCAGGCACTCTAGAGGGATTGTAAATCCTGTGTGGATCTGTGAACTCCTTGGGATCCACCAGGAGGAGCTACTGGGAGGAAGACCTCTGTCCCACGTTCCTCCTAACAACATTTTAGCTCCTTTCTCTGACTGATGCTGTATTTAGTTTTAACCTCTAACACTAAGGTGGACAAGCTGGTGTTGCATTGTGGGTAGCGCATGACATCAAGGTGGGATCCATTAACATTTAGTTGTGATGCCAATTAGCACCAAGCTAACTTCCTTTTCTTATTTTTGTGCAGAAAGAAGAACGGGTTTCGGCGCTCCGCAATCAGCTGGCCGAGCGTCAGGCTCTCCGGAACCGCCGCCAGCCCACCGCCGGTCAGAATCAGAACCACAATGCCCCACCACCCTCCTCCCAACCGGACCCCAAGTCACTGCTCCCCCCACCCGGATACCCGAACCCCACCCTGGACAATCACTCTCTCCCACCGTCCTTCTCCAACTCGTCCAGCCTCTACCCGGCAGACAGCAAGATGAGTCGTAACCACTGTCACAACAGTCAGATCCCGCTGCTCTACAAGTAGGTGCTGGGGTGGGGGGTGCACACATGGGGAGACACCTAACACGAGACACTGTGACCTCCACCTGTCTGGATGAGGTCTCCAAATACACCTGCAAGCACAATGGAGGCAGTGTATTCCACCTGGAGGAGAGTCATAGGTAGCCCCACCCCTCACGATTTGACCCAACCAAACACAGGTGGACTTTCAGCTGTAACCAGTCCCTTCTCGTTCGTCCTCTGGTTCCTTTGTGGACACAAAGATCTGTGAAGGACCAGTTGCTGTTGGTGTCTCCACGTCCTGTCTTCGGAGAACGTTCCAGTCGTGATTCGATTGTTCCGTAATCTTTGATCCGTTTTTGTCATAAAGTTGTTGATGTTTTAACCTTCAGGAGGACAAATGTACAGAATCTTCCTCAAAGAGCCGTCCAGCTCTGATGTCGAGGATTGTTATTCAACAGCCATAGCATTACGACCAGTCAGACTCAGCATGTGGTTAGAAATCCAGAACCAAGTTTCCGTAAACCCATCCTGGATCACCGTCAGAAGAGGAACAAAGAGAATGGTTCTGATAGTTCTCATTGTTTAAGTGATCAGATTTGTGTTTATTATTATTATTTTATGTGTTGAAGAGTAAAAACGAGCCGTCACACGCAGGTTATGATTTTGTTTACAAACTGAGACAAAAATAGGAATTTGGCCCAGCTGGTTCTACTGGGGTTCTGGTTGTACGTTCTCCACACAGAACCTCTAATTTCAGCTAATTTTTCTTTTTAGAATTGACTGATCAAACAGTTAATAAATATGTAAAATATCGAAGGCTGTTCCACCATACGGAAAACTTGTTTAATGGGGAAAAAAAATGCTGACAGGAAAACCAACTTTCCCTGTTAAAACCAAATAGGAATATTTGGGTCGGGCCAGAACCACCTCCTCAGAAAATCAGCATGAAAAAACAAAATCTACCATTTAATTTGGGGTTTTATGTTTTTATGACGAGTCACGTAACCTAAAAAAAAAAAAAAACAATCACTAAAACATGTTTTAGTTTAATGAAAAACATCCCAGAAAAACGCTGCATTGTAGGTAATTTGATCAGCGTCTTGGGTTCTTACAGGAGCTTGAAGTCCTTAAAAGTACTTGAATTTACTTTTCAAGGTGTTAAAAATGCACACTAGAGAAATCGGTATCAACCAATTTTCCTGCATGACCAGCGTTGTATGGTTTGTTTGAGGTCAGTGAACGCACCATCCCCTAGCAGACGATAAAAAATAGTCTTGTTTTAAAACTCAGTGATCAGTATCAGCCCTGAGAACCAGGACTGGTCTACTGGAACAGTTTTAGTTCATCAACTTTCAGTTTGATGAGACAAGGAAGTGAAATGATCAGTTTGAGTTAATCGTCCAAGTGAGGAGCTGGAAAGTCTCACATTAAAGTGCTCGAACTGCCTCTAAGAACCTTCAGTTTTTAACGGTTATCTGACAAGAACGTTGTTTCAATCTGATTTTTCCACATGGATCTAATTAAGATCCAGATTAAAGATCTAATCCCAATCTTTAATCGCTGTTACCACGGTGAAAAGCAAGTCTGTCTTTGACCCTCTGGCCTGAAAATGAGATAAAAATCAACTTCAGATAGATAAAACTTCATCAATATTTAACCAAAACTAAACCAAAACACACAAATGTGAATGAAAAAAAGAAGTCACTGAATCCATAAGAATCTGAGTGGAGTCAATTAAGATTCTTAAATATCATTTTCCTGACTTTTCATGATCAAACATTTTCAGGTGTTTTAAGGCTTTAAACTTGTTGTAAATGTACCGGAGAAGAACTCGGAGTAAACCCGTATTTATTCAGCTGCATGTTCTAGTTCATTCATGAGCTAACGCTAATGCTAGCAGCTGTGACTCTGTATGTATCAGAGCTGTAGACGCTAATCAGAGCGTACACTTTAACTTGCACAGACAAACAAGCAATCCACTTCCTGCTGAGGAGCTCAGGGCTTGGGTGAAATAGGTCATATTTAGTAACTGACCAGAAAGTGTAAAATACACAAAGAGACGTTCTATTGTCCTGCGCATTCATCACAACGATGATACACATGGATCGGGAGGTATTTGTATTCACTATATCTACAGATATTATATGTTAATATATTTCAGAGTATGTGTATTGTAATATATGGGTAACATGAATAAAATCTTTGTTTTTCCACTTGATGACCTGGTTATTTGGGCTTTTCTCCACTAGGTGGCAGCACATACTTGTTGTTTTCTGACTTGTTTTGCCTTTGTTTTCGAGTAACAAAGCTGATTTCCTGTTTGTTCTCCGCTTTGATTTCCTGTTTGTTCTCCTCGCAGAGGTCAGATGTCAGACGTAGAACCGGTTAACCCAAACGGCCCATGGGACTCCAGTCACACAGACAGTTGGGGAACGTCCACTGGTGGACGAGACAAAAGGAGACAAATAGCTCCTACGTGTGTGTTATTTGTTTAAAGTTTGTTTTTAGGCGATGACAGAGTGATAAAAACCCGCTGCTGGCCGAGAATCCCACAGCTCACACAATATGTCTGTTTCTAGCTGACTGAATACGGGTTGTGTGGTAACAGTGGTGGAGGACGAAGATCTGTGTCTGCGTGTGTGTGTGTGTGTGTGTGTGTGTGTGTGTGTGTGTGTGTGTGTGTGTGTGTGTGTGTGTGTGTGTGTGTGTGTGTGTGTGTGTGTGTGTGTGTGTGTGTGTGTGTGTGAGAGAGAGAGTGTGTGAGGGAGTGTTGCAGGGGAAATCCCAGTTTGGGCTGAGACTGCTGCGGGCCTCCACCTGACACAGCACATAGTGGGAAGCAAAAAAATGTAGGAAATTCCCCTCAACTAGTGTGATTTTTCGAGGGAAGTATTTGCAGGCTGGGGAAGAATTCAGACTGTGAGTGTGTGTGTGTGTGTGTGTGTGTGTGTGTGTGTGTGTGTGTGTGTGTGTGTGTGTGTGTGTGTGAGTGTGTGTGTTTTGGAGGTGGGGGCAGGAGGTGGGAGTGAGATAAAGCCAACTCAGCTGCAGTGTTCTATTTAGTATCAGCAATGAAAAAATGCAGTTTTTCTAGAGATTCATCAAAAAAAAAAAAATCACCACTGCAATTGGCCAACGTGGAGCAGAGAGCAATAAAACACGTTTTTGGTAATAAAATCACCAAGTAGCAAAGCGCTAATTTACATGGTGTTTTCTACTTTACTTAGATAAAAATGTTTATTAGGAACAGAGAAAATGTGTTTTAATCAGAGCTCTTCGGGATAACTCAGTCAGAATCTGTATCAGTGGATCGGAGCATTGCAAAAATCAGAACTGTGAATCGACACTCAAAACCAGCATCTGTGCATCTTTAGTTTTCTGTGATTTTCAGACATTTCATTAAGCGCAAAGTATCACATTGAAATTTTCACAACAAGTTTTATTGACTTAAATACAAATAAATACAAATAAATACATATATGTTGTAAATAGTAAATAAATGTGCTCATCTGCTACAGCAGAAAACGTTTCTTTGACAACAATCTGAGATCAGCATAAATAAAGTTTAAAAAGTGCCAAACATGGAAATAAAGTTTTAAACTGTTACAGTTTATAAAGTTTCAGAACTCATCGTGGCTTTATCTCCATTGAGATTTGAACATTTTTACGTCACCTTTAGGATGAATAAAAGGTAAAAATGTGCTTATTTTTTTCAAAGGCCTGCTCACATTTTGTTCTTTAGGATTAGAGCAGGAGGTCAAAGTGCAAACACACCAAAGAAAGTCTTCCCCTCGTCCGTCTCCAGGTCCGACAGCTGGTTGGTTTCCGTCCACAGATGGTCACCTTTGTTCAGCTGAAACACAGCGCCCAGGTAAATGGCACTGTAGCAGCTCTGACCAGACTGTACACCATCTTCCTGCACGTTTTGACACGCCGACCTTACGGCGCTCATGAGGGACACTTTGGTTCCGATGGAATCTGACAAGCGCCAGATTCTGTGGCTGAGAGGCATGGAGCGGCCCGCGGGCCCCGCCTCGTTGCTGTTGCAGGACACCCGGAATGATGCCTGGCTGTAGACGAAGTACAGGCCGCTCTGTGGGATGATGATCTGGTTCTGGTCCAGGCGGAAGCCCCCCTGAGTGAAAGCCTGGCCCTGCTCGTGGCTCCACATCAGCTCCGAACTTTCGCCATCTTCATAACCTCCTGAAAGAATCCAGATGTTCTTGTCTCAGCACTGGGATGAAAATCTCTACAGCTGCAAATCCCACACATGACAGATCTGAGAGTGACTCACCTTCCAGATGGATGGCTGCTTTGGCTTTCTTGATCATTTGTTTCAGGGTGGAGTGGGTCCCTGAGGAGAAGATCAGAGTGAGCTCATGTCCACCTCAACAATACTCCTCTCACCTCCATCACCATCTTATATGTAAATATTCACCTGTTTTCTCAGCAGAATGTGATGAAACAACTGCTTCTGGGAGAGACTGTGAGGAGAGAAAACACCCATTAGAGATCTGCATCAGAAGGTTCTGACTGGTCTGAGAAGGTCAGAGGAGATCCTCACCGTGGGCTCTGGTCTTTCATCCCTGTACCAGACAAACAGTCGGGCCCCTGCTACACAAAGAGCCACTATCAGGAGGATTCCAAATCCCTTCCACATCCACCCAGTGGAGGATTTCTTCTCCACCAGCACCTCCGAGCTCTCCTCAGCACCAGCCTCTACATCACCTGTTGTGGCTACGTATCCCATCATGCTCTAATCTCTGCTGCCTGGCTGATAGCTGTGTCTCTGCTGGTGCTTGTCTTTGTGTGTGTTAGAGTGAACCTCTGCCAGGCGGCCCGTAGTATTTATGCTCTAGCAGCTGCTCAAGCTGAAGGGAAACTCCAGTGATGTCACTGTAAGTGGAGAGCAAGACAGAGCTAGTGCTGCGGAGAGAAACAGTGGCTAAAGGAAAGAAAAGTCACAGAACTTTTTTTCTTTGTGAGTTTCACCCAAGTGTTGCACCCTATCGGGAGCTGTGGTTTAAGGACGGGAAAATGTATGGGTTTTTCTAACACACACACACACACACACACACACACACACACACACACACACACACACACACACACACACACACACACACACACACACACGCACACACACACACACACACACACACACACGCACACACACACACACACACACACGCACACAGTCAGATGTACGCTCATAATATGCTGCATCTGTAAGAGCTGAGGTTAAAGCTCACCAGCATTTTGAGGTTACAGCAGATGTTTATAAGAGAACAGCCCAACTTTATGTAAACAGTCTATGGAGTGCCAAACGTAAAATTATACAACAACAAAAAAAATAAATAAAAATAAATCACAAGAAGTATGGGGTATGTATTTTTTTGATAGCATTAATTCAGGAAATTACATTCTTGTGTTCAAATTTTTAAAATAACATCCAAATCATAATGTCAGAAAGGAACATTCTAAATATTTAGTATTAAATATAATTTTCAGCATAAAATATGCATAGTTACAACTAGATGTGAAAACCTAAATATTTAACTTGCATACAAGTTCAAACTACTGCAAACTGGAGCCTACCAAATGACATACTCAGAGTCAGTTCAGTTACTTTACACACTTAGATTTGATTTAAAATATTTAGAATTTACTGTTTTTCTTTTACTTTCTACGTTTAGATTTGATCTCAGATAATTGTGTTTCATTTGTAAATGTAAGAGCAGTTGTAAATATTTTGGTTTATTGTTGCATACTTAGATCTAAATGTAATATGTCAATAATTTCAATAACTTAGATTTGGTTCTTAAAATTTAGAGGTGACTTTATATTCTTTACTATGTGTCACGATCTGCCCCTGCCCGCCTGACTTCCTGCCATGATTACCCTTATTGTTCTCACCTGTCCCTCGTTTACCTGCCCATGTTTCCCTAATTAGCCCTCTGTATTTATACCACCTGTTTTGCCCCTGTCTTTGTCAGATCATTGTTGTTGTTTGTTGGTGTTCCTGTTCATCCCATCCTGCCATTAAACCATTTTTTACTTTTACTGAAGCCAGCATTTTTACCTCCTGCTCAGCTCATCCACACATGGTCCATCATCTCCACCTCGTTCACCGTGACACTATGCTGTATATTTAGATTTAATTTGACATGTTTAGATTATTTAAATTTCAATTTGTATAACTATTTTAATGTACCTATAAAAAGCTTAAGTTAGCTTTGATCAAATTTGCGAGTTTATTGTTGTATTTTCATATTTATTTATAAATCTTTAAGTTAAACATTTAATTATAATCATCTGTAATTAGGAGTACTATTTGAAGGCAAATGTGATATATTATTGTATGAACACACAAGCGGCGCTCCATAAACAGACTACTGGTTAATTAGCTCGCGCCACCAGGGTTAACATCAACCTATAATCCAGGTTAATGTTTAATAATGTGCACATTTACCCTTTATAGCCGTAATTATGGATAATTACAAATGTTTTATGACACGACTGTGGCTTTGACCTGCCTGACCGATCTTCCATTTGTTTGTCGGTGAAGGTTTAGCGTTTCAGCTGCTTTCTCGGTGTGAGTGAAGGTTATACTAATACTACAGGTGTGGTAATGATGAGATGCTCTCTGTAAACATCATGGAAATATGATGCAAGGAAAGATTACGTAACACAGGAAGGAAAAGTTGTTTTGAACTTGAACAGAAACAGAAACAGGAAGAGAAAAAGTCTGAAATGACCAAGTGAATTTATTTATTGACCAATCTCCTTTAACCTGAGGGCTGTTGTGGGCGTGGAGTTTAGTATGAAAAGTTCAAGCAAAACTTGGCAGCTGGGAGCTTTTTTTGTCTGTCGAATGATGCAACTTGGTCCTATCCGCTCAGCAAACAGGTTTTCACACTTCTGCTCTCTCTGATTCAATGCTTCTTTCCTCACACAACTCTTCGTGTCTGGATTTTTCGTTCCTCCTGCTTCAAATCTCCACTTTTGCTTTTCTGTTTTCTTCTTGATTCAGAGAGAGAAACTCGGGAAAACCATTTGATTTTCCTCATGTCGTTCTGATTTCTGTAAACAGATTTAATACGAACTCAGCAGAATATTTATTCAGGTTCAGATCAGTTTATCAGCTAGATCCAACTTGAGTTTAATAAAGCTATTAGCTTAAATGCTAGAAACGCAGGCAGCAGGCTGCATCTCCATCACACACCAGGCCTGAAGGGCGGATATCCAGCACATTTGAGTTTAAACTCTGTTCAACACACCTGGTTTCTATCAGCAGGTTGTTAACAGGCTTCTGCAGAGCCTGATGTGCTGCTGCACAGGTGGATACCAACACCTCCAGGTCTGGAATTGAAAACCCGGAGGTGCCAGATTTGTAGGGTACAACCAAAACAAACATGGTGTCAGTAGAAGAGACCGTTTTTTTAAAATCACGACAGACCAAACCAGCAGTGGTATAGATAGTATAAGACCTCTAAACCAGATAAAGCATGATAAGAGCGAGTATGTCTCGCTCATTTTGTCAGCTCCCCCTACTGGTTACTCGCTTATTGCCGCTTGGGAAAGCATGAAGGGGGGTGGGGGTTATAACATTTACTGGAACCAACCACTGGGGGGCATTTAAAGTCTAGTTTTTTTTCCTTCACTTTCAGCGTTTAGGCTGTATTTGTCAAATGTAGTGAAAAACAACCTTTGCAATAAAACGTTTAGACAAAATAATAATAATAATAATAATTTGAGGAAACTGTCATCGGATTTTTTCAGGTTTTATTCTCTTTATTGATATCAAAATAGAATTGTAATTGTTACGTTTTCAAATTATGGTTTTATACTTTCTTTTGTTTGCCCCATTTTATTACTTGTCCTGGTTTTTGCTCACCCTTCACACCTGGTCCTAGTATGTTCATCACACACCTGGATTATTTAAAGTCATCCAACCGGCTGACACAGGGGCCTGGAGGATCAGGGTTGGACACCGCTGTCCTTCTAACTAGTCCGGTTGGTTAACCATCATCAGTTTGTTCGTCTGGGTCTGGAAGTCTGGGATGTGTGCTCTGTGGAGGCTCCAGGTGTTTCGGGACCATCTCAAGAGCTTATTTCTGTTGTTTTTGTGTCATTATTTAAAAAAGTTAGATATTTTTAAAAGTGGTTTTGCTTCAGAAATAATATTTAAAATATTTTATTCATTATCTAGTTGTGTCTGTTCATGTTTGTTTCTCATTGAAAATTATTTATTGTTTTTCTTTCATTTGATGAATATCTTTTAATTGTTGTAAAGTAGTATTTATCGTTTTAAACTGAATATTTTCAGGCTTGTTTTAGAGCTTTTTTTAAAAAGAAATTTGAAGTTATCATTGGTTTAATTTTTGTCTGATTTTGTTCCTTTATATTTTTTATTGACATTTTCTCAGTTATTTTCTCCTCTTTTAGGAGCCGGAAGAGGGAGCACCTCCTGTTATCTGAATCAGAGTTGACTGAGTGAAACTTGTTTAAGGAGTGTTCATCCTTAGCGATACGTTCAGATGAACATGACTTCCATGTCTCATTGTGACTCTTTCATTCCAGCCTGCAAACATAAACCAACCACAAGAAGCTGTCATCGCCACCACCAGCAGCACCCACGACAAACAAACACGCACTGCACCTTTACATTTCCTGCTGTTCACTCACCCACCTCCTCTTTGGCACTCAGCAGGAAAATCACCAAATGAGGCTCTTTGCTTCTGACGCCGCTGAGGTCAGACAGCAGGAATCCACCACAGAATGTCACCAACTCCATTTTTAATCATGTTTAAGTCTTAGCTGGAGCGTAAATATAAACAATCCAAACATTTCTCTGATTCTGTGATATTAGAAAAAGTTAAGAAATGTTTCTACCTCCATGTTAGCAGATGATTAATTAAAAAAAATCTCTTTCTGTAAAGCACATCAGTTTCTTTATTTCCCCCGAAAAAGTAGGATTTGCCACAGACGAATCATTCTCATCCGCAACTATGCTTCACCGCATTACTGACACCACGCCATGACCTCAGCTGGATGTTAAACAGACCATTTAGAAGATAAAATCCACAGCAAGTGAAGTCGATCCAATCTTTTGTTACTGCTCCTGATGATGAAACGTCTCTCTGTGGTGAAGTGGCATTTATCCAGTTACAGGTTCATTCAGACCACAGCACACCATAAACATTCCACTCACCTCTAAATTCACTGGAATTCGTCTCCGGATGAAGCAAGTCTAGAACAGAACAAACAGCTCTGCAAAGCAGAAACAAACCTGCATTAACTCGGATGAGTTTTTAAGTCATTCGTCACAGGAAGAACCTTCAAATGGGAAGCTATTTAAACATTTAAAAGTATTGTGTGGTCAGTATGTCCTCCAGTAATCAGCATTGAATCAGTTTTTTCTGGACGCCACAGAAGTAAGTTGTGTTTCTGCGAGTTGCATCCAGTTTTTTTAAATGTCTGTGATGTATTATTTTTGCAGGCTTTTGTTTTATTATTTATGATACGGATATCAGTTCACAGTCTATGGTTGTTCATATTGTTGCTACAGGTATGTTGTTAAACGAACTATGTCAAATTTCTAATCATTTGATACTTTTGTTGGGATTAAAAATCCACAGAAATTCATCATACGAACCACAGTAGGTGTGAACGGCCGTCTGTCCAGAAGAAAACCGGACTGCCTCTGTACCACATCCGGTGTGAAACATGCTTCAGCCTATAGCAGCATAACTAAAGGGATGAGCCTGGAGATCCTAATATGTTCTCCATCAGTCTAAGCCTATAGCAGCATAACCAAAGGGATAAACCAGGATAACCTAGTATTTTCTCCACCAGTTTAAGCCTACAGCAGAATAACTAAAGGGATGAGCCAGGCTAAACCTAACTAGAAGTTTTATCACAAAGGAAAGTC